CTCTCCTACCAGAATCAACGTGATGTTGGTTCGATACCAAATGGTATGGGATCGTCGCGCGCCGGATGTTACCAAGCATAATAAGAATCCTCCGGGTATTAGTAAGCTGAAAGATAAATCAAAAAGAAAGCGGCAGCATCTGGTCGGGAAATACATGTAATAATTTTAAAACATCTGCCTTCATGCTTAAAACGTTTGAAATGAAAATTTGGGTGAAGATTATTTGAGCTATAAAGTATGGCATAACGATAATAATAATAATAAAATGATGCGTGTTAATAGCCGTTGGTTAATAACTTGACGTATAGGTAGTATTTCGTGTTTAGAAATATTAGAAGCAATTAATATTGTAGAAATGTTAATATTGCTATTAGTTTTGGTTTAAATTATAAAATCAAATAGCGATTATGCCGGTAAGTTGTCAATATGAGTTGAATTCCAAATGCATCTGTATTCGTAGGCTAACTGAAGGAACAAAAGTATACCGTGGAGAAGAATTCAAGCTAGTGTTCCAGTTAGTTTGATACGGTTTATTTAGTTACGGGGAGATTTTCTCAACCTCATTTTTACTTGACCGTGATAGAATTTATTAATACTACTAATACACATGAATGGTTATTAAAACAAAATTTCAATACATGAGAGATAATTATATGAGTTTTGGACAGATAGCTAAGAACAAATCGTTAAACATGAGTGTATTCGTAAGAGAAATGCTCTAGACTCAATGTTCTGAGTTGCCATAGACTATTTATACATATTTATACCTGACGGCTGATGATGCATACAAGTTAGTTGCAGGTATGCAGTTTATCATAAGGCGGAATACGATTTAATTGAGACCTATGTGTCATATTACTAAGTGATGTGGTGCTGCAAGGTGTATTTGGCTAAATAATTTTTTTACAAGATGATTAATAGTGAGTGATGCTCATGTGATTATCAGGGAGAACATAAGTTGTAACCAAGGGGAGTACACTCCCAACTCATGTCTATGATAATAGCTTGAACCTTAGTCAGTGTTGGGGTAAATTCGACATTGATGTTTTCAGTTTGCAGGAGATTTGCTCGACTGCTTATACTGATTATTTGCATGCATGATTGTGTCGCTAAACCTCCAATTAGACCGACAAGGTTTCGGGATATTTACTGAGTGAGCATCTGATAGAGAAACATACTGTAATCTTCTGTAGTGAATGAAGATAAAAGAAAAACAACACTAGTGATAATTTTAAGTCGATTTGCTGACCGGTTATGTTAATAGTTTCATTAATATTATCAATCATATTACGTGATTGTCAAGTCATGACAATGCTTTATGACGATATCCTGAAACTATTATGTTTAACTAGTTATAGTGTTAATTGAGGATTAGCCAGTGGAAAAATAGGTATTTTTACTTTAGGTGATTCAAAATTATCAGAAATTTATAAAATTAAAGAATCCGAGCTGCCTAATTATATTATAAATTTCGATTCAGAAATATTCGTTTAGTGGTAATTTTAGTATGCTACGGAGTTTCGATCTTAAACGTTTGTTTAGTCAACAGCTACCTGGGGACTTAGTTATTTGACTAGTGCCGTTGATAGTCCTTAAATTTGTAATCTAATTATCTAAACTGTGTCTGCATTTTAGGGTGCAACTATGATAAACCAATCCATAAACCCAAATACGATTAGCAACAACGACTATGATGGATTTATCGATAAATGTTAAAGGCGAATCAGATGATTTCTAAATTTAGAAGACATGAAGATATAGTGCAACGCATGTACGGGCCAGGTTAACATGCAGGTTGTTGACGTATATGACAGTTTGAAAACAATGAACATGATCAGAAAGATAATTTTAAAGTTAAGACTGCTTATGAAACTTCAGGCAGGAATATGACGCGTTATAAACATTCCGTAAGAAGATAATGCATTTAGCCTAGGGACACTTACAAATATATGGCAAAAGCAACTGGAAAATATATACATGTTAAGTACAAAAAATCATTAAGTAAAATAGTTGAACTCGCCTGGATTATTTTTGAAAATTAGATTATTCAGTGGACGACATATATAACGCCATTCGTGAGGAGTAGAAATGATCCAAAAGTATTCAGAATAAAACATGCAGTATGGCAATTAATTCTGGGGTGCTTGATGCAGTTGACGTTTTTGACACTCGCTCGGATCAGAACAATCGAATGGATTCAGATCATTGTGCGGTCGCCATTGAACAAGCCATCGTATGTTTTTAGAGAAGTGTCATCCTTGTTGTTTGGCAATGGAACTCGAGAATATGAAATTAGGCATGCAGTGGTCGGAAGAAAAGGATAGTGCATAGTTTAAAACAGGATGAGGTGTTAAGCGAAGAAACACTAAGAATTAGATCCAGATAACTATTCAATCCTTGATTGCATTGTTAGCCAATGTATATTTACGCTATTTACAGGTCATATTTTCTAGAGCTTGATGTTTAAACAAGTTTATGTCGCTGAAGCATGTAAATGCTATTAAAGCTTGTTAACGAACCATCAAAGCTAATTAGTTGATATAGATGATCAACTTTTATTATCGATTGAGCTAGTAAGTTATGTGGACTAATAGATATAACATTACGATAATATATGTGACCATTAATCAAAGGACTATTAGAATACTGGGTTTACAAAAATAAAAACCGATTGAGAAGGTTAAGGTGGAAATAAGGATTAACAATAATAGGTTGCGTTTCTTTAGTTGGGCTCACCAATATATTATTATGGTCTACTATGATATTAATACTGCTCTAATAATAGACCTAATCCTAAATTTGTAGATTTGTCATGATATAACTGCCTAATCTATAAGATCTTACGTGGAAGTCACACCACCGACTACACCAACTCACTGTATCGTATCAATTACCAATACATGATGTAGAACAAGGTTAGGCTAGAGAAAGAACAATATATTTAATATGAATAGAAGATATAAGGTAACATTCAGCAGAGATCACGCCTGCATGGCCGAGCCATGCCGTTCGATCAACTCTAATTTATTCAATTCATTATTCGCGCCTTCTCCATTCTTAGGTATTTCTCCGTGTTAAATATTGAATATCTATTTTCTGAGTAGTCTTGTGTTCAGCTTTGAAGATTGTGAGGTTATGGTCTAATGCCACTACAAAGTCACACAAGCAGATAAATTAGCATTTCCGTCCGATAACTGTTTGCGCGTGTCGATGGGAATATTGTAGCACGTCTACACCAATGGTTGGCATGGAAACATCTGCAACAACGAAAGTTCATTTGATGGGTAGGTGTAACCCCACGTCAAGATAAATATATCGCTTATGTATGTGGCAGTCTGTTTCCCATTTACCTCCTGTAAGTTATGTCGACGAGGCGACGGACGTTCGTAATTACATCAGTACGTATAACAGACGGCTATGTTCACCGGTTACGGTTGGCATTGACGCTTGCCGGCTGAGAAGTTTCCCGAAACTTTTTTCGTGTCAGCCGGTTTGGGTATCAGGGAATTCCGGAGTTTTTTGAAATTTCGAGATTTCCCGTACTGAGTATGACACCAACACAGGTCGGGGTTATCTGCCTTTCGTAATCTAGAGATAGATCGTTTCAGTGAAGAACTCCCTCGAGAGGTTCGTTATCGTTTACGGTGAAGACAAATACGAAGGTAACGTGTCAAAGTACGACTGAGTTCCATAACGTCTTCTCGTGTCGTTTGACGTTTTCCTTTGACTGAAAAAACGTTGGTGTTAAAAGTTCTGAAGGTCTCCTTAATTCTACCGGCAGATGTAGCCAGTTCGTCTATAGCGTTATTTTGAAATGGAACAAGCACTGTCTTCACCTATTGAGGGAGTTTATACAGGAAAAGTTGGCTTAACAGGCCATCGTCAAAGATCCGTTGACTAATGCCTTCTCTCATTCGTAGAAATATGTCTGTTGTTGAGTCATGCCGTATATCAATGTTGTTGAACAGTTGATTTAACCTTTGTCGATCGTTTACATCTCCACGCTCAAGAATAGCTCTTTTAAAGCTTCATAAGGTTCCGAAGAATCACTGGTAAACATTCCAGGTGTGACCTACCTGTTAAAATCGTTCAGTAGTGCCTTCACTAATGCAAGAAAATGTGCACGTGGGTTGGTTACACCGTGCTCATGGAACTCATCTTTTGTGTGACAGTACCAGACTTCGATGTTGTCAGATCAAAGTGGCATTAGCTGAAGTATGGGTCGTGAATGAGTTGTGTTCTTAAATAATTTAGGAGTCTTTTCCGTTATTTTGAATATAAAGTTTATCAATGAATGAGAAAAAAAGATATCTGAAAATATGAGAAAAATCACAATGTGCAAAAATGAAGGTTAAAAAAATGACATGTAATGATCTAACAAGGAACACTCTCAGGGTTTCTGATTTGGTGCACCAAATCAAGTCAGGCTCACCACTAAGGATGTCACAAGTATTCGGAGTTTGACTATTAACACCTTTTGTGATCGAAGTTTACCAACTCAGTGAAAGCAGAAGTCATAAGCTAAGAAGTTCGAAGAAATATTTGACAGACTTTGTACTAAAAGGTAAGCATTGCTGAGATTGCCTAGTGATATCGAATTTCCAGCCCTTGTAGTATAGAAGGTTAAGAGGAATGTAACCATCATTTATCATACTCAGTATATTCCCCTGTGCTGAATCGTCCAGAACATAAATTTGATACATGATTTTATTTGGTAGGTACTGACGTGAATTACCATGTGTTACGCCAAGACCACTCATTTCATAATTTCGCTTCAGACTCAGAAGTGAAACAACAAAATCATACATGTCTGTGATCAAGACCTATTTCATATTACCGAAACACATATCAATAGATAAATCGTTCTTTTCTCTTGTCTTGCTAAGTTTGAGGTTTGAAACTTAGATTTGTTTTTGACCACTGATAACGGCGCGTAATCAGTGGTGGGTTGTCGCGCGTGGTTGTTTTTGTTAGCCCTTTTTTGGTAATTTCGTTTCACTATGAACGGGAAAAATGGTGCCGGTGATAAAAATGAGTGTTCCCCCAGTACATCATGTGAGTCTACCACCGAATCGTCAGATATGACTTCAAAGGACTACTATTTTGACTCATACGCGCATTTCGGAATTCATGAGGTACGTGATTAAGATACAGAGAATTATGTTTTAGGAAATGTTAAAGGATGAAATCAGAACACTCACCTATCGCAGTGCTTTAATTCACAACAAACACCTCGTAAGAGATAAAGTAGTGCTTGATGTTGGTTGTGGGACCGCCATCCTTTGTTTGTTTGCAATCAAAGCTGGAGCCAAACATGCCATTGGAGTAATTGTGTTTCTGGTCCATATTAGTTTTAGATTGATTGTTCAAACATCATTGATCGGGCAATGGAAGTCGTGCGAGCTAACAATATGGCGGACCGTAAGTCAACTTGTAGTTTAGGAATGTGCATAACCGCCCCATTGAGGTACATAACATTCTGTGTTTATCATCTTTACAGGTATCACTCTGATCAAAGGAAAAGTCGAAGAAGTGGAACTACCTCCGGAGTACCCCAAGGTCGATATAGTCATAAGTGAATGGATGGGTTATTGTCTTTTTTACGAGTCAATGTTGAATACTGTCATTTATGCCAGAGACAAATGGTTGGTAAGTAAATTCTCCATTTTTTTGGTTGGAATCAAGCCACTAAGTCTGACTATCAATTGTTACTAAATACTACCTGAACAACACACGGAGTTGTCGTTCTAAATCCAAACCTTGATTGTGTAGAAACTTTTTTGATATCCACAAACCTAACTAACCGTGTACTATACTACAAAGATTTGAAACATTTACGTTTCCAAGTGCTGTTGTAATTTTAGTTTAAGTTAATGAAATTCTGTTCTCAAAATAGTTGCGTTTACTGTTTTATTTGTATAGATGTTACTTCAGTGAGTATATTGATATATGTCAAGCAACAAGTTCATATGACGACATATTTTGATGAACAGTTAAGTTAGGACGTGTGTTGCAGTACTATGCTTGGTAGCGTTCACCAATTTTCATCTAGCAATTACTAGTAAATAAGATTTCACAAATTCCAACAAACTGAGTCTTCCAAACAATTAAAAGGCATTCAAATTGGTTGTTCCCTAAATTGACTCAACTCTGAATCTATTTCTTGTAAATCTATATGCTAACCTGCATCTTCATGTTCACTGGCTTCTACACATTTTAGTTGATCGCTAGGGGTAACGCTTATTTCGCTATGTCGCATTCCATCTAATGACGTCACCAGTGCTGACGTGAATGTAGGTTGTAGGTAAAAACCATCTGCATTCAAAGAAACCAATTTCTTGGTTCTAGGACGGATTTAGTGAACTCATTATAATTTAAAAGATAACCGTTACAGGTCACTTAATAGTACGAAAAGACATCTCACTCTGCTACATATTTCACATTTTTCAAGTTATTAAAATGTCAAGTTTCAAAGCCCTACTTATTATTGTCTAGTTGAATGCAAGTAGAAACCAAGTACCGATTTCCGCTTCTCCATATTTAAATGTCTTATAATAATGCTTGCTGACGTTCAATACTTTTCTTTGCATTTTCCGCAGGCACCTAATGGCATAATTATGCCTGATCGTGCAACCCTGTATGTGTGTGCTATCGAAGATAGACAGTACAAAGATGAAAAAATTAACTGTAAGTCCATCTCATTTTCAAACAACTTCATATCTTTTGTCTTCTATGGTTTTGTATAATAAAACTCACTATATATCTATAAAGTTCATATGTTTAAACTCCCGGCCTCTATTTTATGTATCCATCAGCTTTGTTGTTGAATAATGTGTTAGTTGGTTGATGTTTATATCTGGTATCGTAAATCATACCAAAACAGGGGAATATACAGTAATTACTGCATCACAGATTGGGACGTTACTAGTTTCAGAAAGTACCGATGTTGGTTACTAATGTGATCAAATTTTTTGTGCTTTTTATAGGGTGGGACAGCGTGTACGGCTTTGACATGAGTTGTATAAGAAAAGTTGCACTTACAGAACCTTTGGTTGATGTTGTTGATCCTAACCAAGTTGTGACTAATTGCTGTTTAGTCAAGGAAGTGGACATGTATACTATCACGGTTCCCGAATTGACATTCAGTGCACCATTTACACTTACCTGCAAAAGGAATGATTATATTCAAGCCTTGGTTACGTTTTTCAATATAGACTTCACTTCTTGCCATAAACCTACAGGATTTTCAACAGGTTAGTTCACATCTTTTCTATGAAACGCTTTCTTGGTTTATCATGTTTTTATTTTTAAGCATAAGTAGATCTGCAATCAAGTTATCTTGTTAAGATATATCTTAATCGTTACATCAAAATGATCAGTTGGTTTACTAAGCTATCTGGCTTAAGTAGTTGAGTAAAGATGAGAGACCAATTTATGGTATAAATTTCATACACTAGGGTGATATGTGTGTTATGCTAAAAAGATGACTTCAATATACTTCCCCTAACATTGTAGTATCAGTTTTAGAAATTTTCTTAAGTTAAATTAACAGTACGGTAATCTAAATAATAGGATAAAAATAGTTATGCTAGAAGGCTGATCTCTAGCTGCTATACACTGAAACTGACAAACGTTTCTTGTTTCAGTACTGTACTGTGAAGTAACAAGCAATCTTATGTTCTCGAACACTGTCCACCGACAATATTCAAACACAATCTATCAGTTAGTCATGATATTACAGGTAATTGGTCTTTATAAAGCTTTTCGTTTTGATCTACACACGCTATACAGAGTTGGAAGACAGTTTTTTCGAAGACAGCGATAATACTTTCAACGAATGTATTTACAGATGGTCAGGCTAGACCAGTTAAAGATATGCATTGATCCTAAATAAGGAAATAAGTTTAATAATAACAAGACCACAAATCCCTCTGCGTAGATTTTAGATTCGTACTCTTCATATCAAAGGTGCCTCCTGCACAAATGTGGTGTGACAATTTAAGCCGACGCACAAAATGTGTTGGGTTCTACATTCTAACGACTGAAATAGCCGTGACTAGCCAAAGTATTAAATTTCTACTTCAGACATTAACACGGAGCTTCGAACAGATGGACGTTGACCTATGTTCTCAGACTAAATTAACATGATGATATAAAAATAGCAGAAAAGTTAATATAACGTGTTACATCGACAATAAGGTTCGGAAAGATGGAGTAAAAGGGTTTGATCGAAAGGAAGACGAATGAAGGAATCTGCACCATCGTGAATGACTCTGCTACACCACCTGAATTTTCCAACCGTTGATCGTGGTGATCACTCAGGTAGTCTACATCGACTAACCTGGCACCGTTGACTGTTAGTGTGTAAAACATTTCTGGATCTCAAATACTTTAGTTTTATACCTAATCCGTTAAACAGCAGTCCTGCATTCCTAGATGAGAAAATAAAGTATGTCTGGACGTTTTTCTATTCTATCCCCAAATTACTTTCCTTTTTCAATACTTCATTTCTTAATTTAAGGCCGTTAATAACATATTTTTGTCATAACAAGGTCCTGACGAGCGCCGCTACACACATTGGAAACAAACAGTTTTTTATCTTGATAATGGCGATGATGACTGTCTAACTGTCAAGAAAGGAGAACATATTAACGGTGTGATGTCTATTAAACCGAATGAACGAAATAACGTGAGTTGATCTAATTTTAGCTTCTAACTGTTAGTCATTTTTCTGAGTCCCGTAGTATTGTACTTACATCAAACACTGCTTCACACTTGTATATTTTTCCACATCATCGGGAAATAGTGAACATATTTATTCAGCATTATCGATCATAATATAATTTCTGGTGATTCCTTATTCAGTAAGTTTCTGGATTTTCTTACTAAGTTTTAAGTTCTGATTCAGTGTGCCTATGAAATATTTACTGTCGACTAGAAAGGGTTTGAAATAATAATGTACTGAAGATACTTTTCAACGTATAATGAAATATTTTACTACATTTATCAGCAGTCACTTCAAAACCGAACAGCAGTGCTTATCTAACAAGTAAGATGTATGAGCAGATAAATAAAATGAACAATTCACACTGCTACATTTCTTTGATTCTCTATTGACTTTATACTTGTCATACTGTCTAATATTTTTGTTTGTGGTAAGCTCAAGAATGCCATTCGTCAACTGGAAATTGTTTTTTTCTTGTTTATTCCTTATTGTAGCGTGATCTTGATATCAACATCAAAGTAGAATTCGTGGGAGAACTTTCGTCGATCGACAAAATGTTTAACTATCGTATGCGCTGATTTATCGCCCAAGATGGTTTGAATTGGATCGTAATCAAAACTTTTAAAAGATCTAATTTCAAAATCCTTGCCTTCAATGTATAACCTCATTCTGAACAGCATTTAACTGTTTTAACCCGCTAGATTTATCAGGGCATTTTCTTCGCTCTTATGAATTCGTTTTCCTGTGTGCGTGTACTATTCCGTCTTACTTTGTTTTTATGGTGGATTTTTCAATAAAATAGATAAATGACTTTCGTTACGTCTCATTTCATGTAGAAAACCGAGCATTCTTTTTTGTACCATACGCGTATTTGCTGTAACATACAATACGACAGGTTGTGTAGTTTTCTAGACACTTCAACGTAAGATAAAATTCGTCCCTTAATTATTACTGGTATGGCATAACGCGCAGGTAGCTCAGATGATTTTCAAATATCTAACAAGTAAAGAGTTTATTAAATACGGCGAGTGGACTGAAAACCCCAATAATGCTTGTCTAGTGGACATGGTTGACTGGAGTGAAAGACCGTTAAACTGAAGGGTTTTGGTCATAGGTGTTTCCTAAGCATCGCTCGGTTTTTATGGGACAACTTTGAGCAGTGTCAAAGTTGGGCGTGAAAGACGTGTGTTACTTCTGTGTAACCACGACGAGCAATGCTTGCTGGTGCAAAAGTTGAGGACTAGGGACGTCAGATTGAGGCGCGATACCAATCCTTAAAGTCACTGACTGTTAATCTAAGCCAGGTTAGTCGATGTAGACTACCTGATAAGGGTCTGAATGATCACCGCAATAAATGGTTGGAGACTTCTGGCGACATAGCACAGATTCATACACTGGTGTGGATCTGTCCATTCATCTTCCCCTCGATCTTGAGTGTTAGTATTCCTTCATACAAACCTTTTTACTCCGTCTTCCCGAACCTTGTCTTAGATGTTGGGCATTGATTCAGGGTCTTCAACTGTTAGACAACACAGGTCGACAGTGTCAGTAAATCCTACTTAGGTGTAGTATCGAGTGCAAGTTCAGGGGTTTTGATGTGCAGCTGGTGAGTAATGCGCGTTGATTATACGCAAATCACTGTATCCTTGTCTAAAATATTTGTATGAACTAATTATTTCTTTTCACTCGAATACAATGCGTTCATTAGTGCTCATCTAGTCTAAATTGCGTCATTTCTGGAATTACTAGTTTGTATAATTCAAATACTTCTAATGATTAAATTGGTACCACGGGCAGGATTCTGTGATGAAACAATTGGACATACATCCAAATTTTGATACTCTTGAGGATTATATGGAAAGGTTAGAAACGGGCTATGACCAAGGAAGGTATTGAGGATGTTAATGTTGTGGCTCATTTCATTACAATCATTGGAAAAGAAGCATACAACTTATTAGAAACTCGGGTATTTCCAGAAAAGCCTATTTCACTTCCTTATGCAACTCTCAAGGAACTACTACTAGATCATGTAAAGTATGCAAATTTTGAATGCAGTAAAGGAGGAAATCTTCATAAAATGATTCGTCAGAAAGTCAACAATTCCGCTACGTCATCCCAGTCCCATGCGTAATCAAGGTTATTCGGAAAATTCATTGAGAAGTAGGTCACGATGCTGAGCGCAAGTTTAGTAAATGTTTGTTCAATAGCAAGTTCCACTCAGTTAATTTATTTATATTTCGTAATTCCAAATGCTTCAGATGTGGTGAGATTGGACACATTTAGTCAGTTTGTAATACTAGTGTTTATTTCGCTGCAACTAATGCTAAGCTTAGCGTTTCCGATCCTATTAAGTTGAATGTTTCAAATGAATCATACTCTAATCAGATTCATATTATTTTACCAGATATACGATGTTCTCATGATTCATGTATTTCTAATGAAATTATTTACAAATATGTCGAGTGGATCAAATCTCATGTTATTGTACCATATATGGTTTGTTCTGATGAAGTCTCTTACAAATCTGCGTTGAATGAATCAAATCATGACAGAAAATCCGATGCAGTTTCGATAGTTGCTGATTTTTCTAATGATCCATTAATCTCCAATGATATTCTTAATAGATTTGAAGAAAATATTTCAGAAGAATCAAATCCTAATGTTATATCACATATTATTTTTCCTCATAATGCATTTTTCTTGTGGGAAAGTTGTTCAATACGAAGCATGAGTCCTAAAGGAGCTCGATTTTGATTACAATTCGTGTGATTTCATATCGAATGTTATTTATACTTATCATGAAGTCACTTCCAATGAATCCTCTAATCAATGTGAGAAATATGTTTTAAAGGAAACCACATTACTCAACTTGGGGATATAAGGATCCAACATTATTTCGTGTGGGAAGATAGTGTTGAAAAATCCACGATTCGCATTCTAGATAACAGTGGTTTCAGTACACAACCGACATGGTGATTGTATACAATTCCAGGACCCAGGTGAGTCTGTTCCAATTTCAGTTGTCAATTCTAATACCAATGAGTATATTCTAGATCATACAGTCTACGTTCAATATACAATCGGACAGACATTTAAGCTGTGGCGGATCGGTGTTTGTATGAACTAATAATGTCCGCCTGATTTTGAATTCTGAATACAATACATCCATTAGTACTCATCTAATTTTTCTTGGTCTAAATCGCGTCATTTCCGGGATTACTAATTTGTGTAATAATTCAAATACTTCCAATTACCACAATATGTGATGCTCTATAACTTACGATGGACTACAGTAACAGGGATATGTGCTTTGTATGACCATAAATCGTTAGGATAGGAATAAGGCTAAGAAAAAGCCAAGAGCATTCATTAGTGAATCAAGCTGTTAGCTTTTATTCTGGGCCGTTGGTAGTCCGTGAGATGGTTTTAATTATAATCATTTTTTTGGATAAGGGTAGCGCTCGCATTTTCATTTGGTCTTTAGTGGATTACAAATAGATAGTATGAAGAAAACACCAGACCTGTTATTTTAAAACCTCGTAATTACTAGTTATATAGAATTTCTCTATAGTCACTGGTTAGTGCTAAGAAGATCATCCGAATTTGATTACTTTAAACAAGTCGTCTTCAAAACATACTAACCTATATTTCATCATCGATGGTATGACAGAATTAAATAATCAGCGACAATATGTATAAAATTGCGACGAGAAGTACGACCTAGCAAGTTGTCTTTTGGGATTTCAAAGATGATTTACAGACGACTGGGATATTATAAAACACTAGGCAACTTTATCATGCCGGTCCAGCATTAATTAGCGATATGCACTCAAGAGTTCATGCGAGATGGGACCCTTAACATAGTAGCGAGCAGAATACTATTGGTCCAAAATTCTCGATTTTAGTTGTTTTTTTTATAATTGCATTATCAGGCACGTAGAATTGAGTCTGGAACAAAGCGGTGATAAATTATCTACATCAATAATTTACCTATTAAGTAGTTGTAATGTAGAAGAGCTTATTCGATGAATAAAGTAATGTGGGAATAACTATTTCAAGGTTGATTAACAAGGTATGGTGATCAGTAGCATAGTTGTTTGTGATGTTATTAAAAAATATTCATACATGTAGTGAGCTTCGATTTGTCATCTTTAAAATCCCAATAAAGTCTTTAAACAAGGCAAATTACAAAGTTTTATAGAAAAAATATATAAAATATGTACAGATTTATCCCTGTAATTGTCTGAGCTTCTCAGTGTTATTGATCCCAAGGCGGTTACGTGCGATTTCTAAGGCAAGAAACTGTATTCTAGGAACTTTACAAAAAACGTTTAAATAGAAAAATATCCTACCGATGCAAGTGTTTTCTGGACAGTATCCTTTTGAGGCATCAAGTCTCAATAAAGTACCGAAGTTGAAATCTTCAACTTTCTTTTCAAATTCATTGCAAAATGGTCGCCATTTCTAAAGGATCAAGAATAACTCCATTACGCGATTGTAGGGGAAACAAAGATAAAGAAACGTATTTAATTCCTAATCAAACGGGAAATAAGGTCGAGCTTTTGGTGGAAGTCAGTGAGTATATATATATTACAATTTCGATAAATTCTAAGGACGGATTGACAGCTTACTTCAGTTCGAACTTAAAAGAAAAGGAATTTCTGACCCTTTCAGACTACAAAATAATCGAAAATAGTAGTTTCTAAGATTTATACATCTACCATACGAGTACACACTGGTATAGAGTTAATTTTTTTTCACTGTACTCTTTAGAAACTAAAAAGTTTAGTTAGATTATGAAACTCGACGGTTAAATATATCTATAGGCTGATATACAGCTTATCTCTTTGTTTTCTGAAATATGGCCAGTACCCAGGAAAGCTGAAGTATAGTAAACAAAATTCGCTCACAAAATATAGAGCTTGGTGAAACAGTAATGTTATATGACACCGAAAATAGATGAGATGTGTTATAAACCATAAAACATTAATCCTTCAGTTTGAATAGTGCGCCACAATTACACACAAAGTATATACATGTACTACTTTGGAATTCAATTATACTGGAATATTTGTTTGCTCCTAGAGTGATTAGTAACTACAGGGATTTAACACATAGTTAACTTAGGAATTCCTTTGACAATGATCACGTTTATGGATAACTGATATAAAGTGATAAGAGACTTACTGCTTTTGATTGCTCCGACTTCAAAGAATCTTCAGAAATAACGTCTAATTGTATATCACTAAACTCTCCCATAAATTTGTCGAATATGAAATCATCTATGGCAGTCAGTCTTAATTGTGAGGGGTCAGAGACTGAGCAAAGTAAGCGAAAATAAGCTTCTGCATCACGGAAACAATGTTCAGCCCATTGTATCTCGATATTCGGCTAAATTATATGAAAATAACACATTCAGTAATTGAAGGATAAAGTTTGAAATATTTTGAGTTGATAAAGCATTCACTATACATTTTGATAATGATAATCTGAGTTATGTTTGATGAGACTATTCACATCATGGTGCTGTTGTAAAGTGTAGGATTAAATAAACATGTGAGTGTAGTAGCTAATGTTCAGTCAAAATTAAGCTTCCCATTAAGATTGTTAAAGGTATGGTTCTAACCATACTGATTATGTTTCTTAATTAATAAATTATTTTAAAAAAATTGTTATTTTTATCTAGAACGAATAAGCTCAGTTGATAATACTCCAAATCAGCTTGACTTTATAGCGCTAGGATTGTTGCCCTTTCGTTATTTTCTGAAAATTGTCTGTCATAGAAAGTTCTATCCTTTAACGTTCAGCGTATATGTGATTGTAAATATTTGGTAATGCAAACCAAGGGACTAACAATGAGTTATACAATAAAATGATGCAAATAAAAAGTTGGGTTTATATTTGAACACTAAATTTTGAGTTATATGTCTATTAAAGTAAATGATGACAATAACTTGATAGGACGCCAGAAGTTTCAATATTTGACCAATTATACATGGAACTGGATTAAAGATCCATTCAGAGTGACACGACTGAACTAAGTTGATGAGTATATAGCATACTTTATCATTCAAAGTTCTTTTCTTGAGGACAAAAGTCCTCTTGTGACAATCACAGAGGAATCAGTTTGACTAATATAGTGTCTAAAATATTAGCCTCAATAATACTTCGACGCCTAACCAAAGCTCGTGAAGAGCATAGTTTTATTTGGTGAAGACGCTGACAAAATGCAGTCTTCTGGCCACTCTAAGCAACAATGCAAGCATGTTCGGGATGCGATTTTCTCCCTCGAAATGCAAAATGTTGCTTCAGGATTGGGTTACATCGACACCCGAACTAGTGATAGGGAGTGAAGTAGTTGAGTGTGTCGACCGCTCCACTTATCTCATCAGCCCTTGTGGTCTAGTATGTGACGAAATCTCAGCACGGATACAGAAGGCTCGACTAGCTTTTGCCAACTTGCGTCATTTATGGCGTAGGCGAGATATACGTCTATCAACCAAAGGACGGGTTTACTGCGCAGCAGTTCGTCCCGTCCTACTTTATGGCAGTGAAACATGGCCGGTAAGAGTAGAGGATATTCGTAGGTTACTGGTATTCGATCATAGGTGTCTTCGAAACATTGCTCGTATATCATGGGACCATCGAGTAAGTAACACAGTTGTTAGGAAACGGGTACTAGGTAAGGATGGCAAATCAATTGATGAAGTGGTGAAACTTCATCAGTTGAGATGGCTGGGACACGTGTTACGTATGCCCAACGACCGACTGCCTCGACGTGCGATGTTCAGTGGTATAGGAGTAGGTTGGAAGAAAGCTAGGGGTGGCCAGGCCAAAACATGGCACAAGTCCATGAAGTCACTGACAAGTGGTCTGAGTCATGTTGGTAGGTGTAGACTACCTGGTTGGGGACCGCGAGATGATAGCAACCGATGGTTAGAGACCTTGAATGACATGGCTCAAAATCGTTTGCAATGGCGCAGGTGCATCCACTCTTTGTGTTCTCCCAAATTTTGATCTCCTGATTCCCCACTGTCTTTTTTTTCTCTTCCCAAGTTTATTTCACTGTATTACACTCTTTAAGTAACATCTGCAAACACTAATCTTTCCGATTACTGCTTATACTCTTATTACCTCTACCACTACGGGATTTGAATCGACCACGGCATCTCTGTGCTAATGTGGTGTGGCAACTCGAACTGATGTACGTACGTACGAAGTTCTACGTTGTTACTGACTGACTGACTCTTGAATTATTTATTGTGCACGGGCAATTTTCGATACAACTGTCCCTCACTATAAATTTCGATGGAACAAGAAGAGGGATAGGAGAATAATAATAAGGAATTGACTTGTTTTGTGAATTTTTTACCTGTCTACAACCTAAAACAATAGTATGAATTTTTCAAAAAGTTAAAATTGAAAGCTTCTAAGAATCGCTCATACGGTTAGTTGTTCGGAGACTAAAAGTATGAATATTCTACAGAAGAAGAATGAGAAGCTCAGGAGTACAGATTTTCAGATGAAAAATTTGCCATGAGTTGCATTTTAATAATCGCAAAAAGACTGATTAGAAACGGCACACTCTAGAAAAAAGTCACACTTCACCTTACTTCATGGATTTTTGCCTCCGGTGGTAGAGCCTTTCGAACTGAGGAGCTAACGCATTCAAAAACCTCAGGCAGTCCTCCCTTGGGCACTGCGGTCATGTATACAGGTCTCTAGAACCGCCACTAATTCAGCATCTCCAAGTCCCTCAAGATTAACTATCCTTCCACGGTGTAAGCAACCAGGAAGTGTCAACCCCCTCATACCGCCTCTAATAGTCATGTCACCCAGAGTCTCCAACCACTGGTTACGATAGTCGCGAACCACAACCAAGTAGTCTGCATTTACCAACATGGATCAGACCAGAAGTTAGTGACTTTATGGACTGATACCACATTTTGGTTTGGCCGCCCCCAACTTCCTTCCAACCATCCCCAACACTAGTCTGATGGACCAATGGACTAACCCCTGATATCTTTAAGGATGATGGTCGAGTCTTAGCAGTTTGTTTAATTATCTTAGCCAAAATCTGGGAACTTAACGTAATCCCACCTAACTGGTTTCGATCTCAGTTTCTAAGAAAGGACAAAATTCATTTCATCGCAATCACAGAAATCACTTTAACTAATATAGTATCAAAAGTCAGTCAGCTACAACGTAGGACCAGGTACATATATGCATCGGTCCAAGTTACCATACATAGTATCAAAAATGTTAGCCTCAATAATACTTCGACGTCTAATCGGACCTTGTGAATAGCAAACGCAAGAAAACCAGGCTGGTTTCAGACACAGACGTATATTTATAGACTGAAATATTTACTATTCGGCAGATTCTGGTACATAGACATACTTTGCAACGTCCAACTTTAGTTGTAAACCTTGACGTGAAGGCAGCGTTCGAATCCGTTGATCATGAGGTTCTCTGGCAACGTCTGCCATTGAAACACGTACCAAAGAAGTACATTAACATTGTAAGTGATCGCTACTCCAACACTACTAGTCGCGTCAGAGCTTATGGAGAACTGTCATTGGATTTGGTTACTTCGATTGATGTTTGTCAGAGCTTTCCTCTCTCTCCATTTGTATTTAACCTTTTATAAACATTCTTTTATAGATAACGCTTTTATCATCTGACTTTTCAGGGACCGATGTTCAGCCAGGAGATTGATTGGTTTATAGAATGCAGTCTTCCAACCACCTTAAGCAACAATGCAAACATGTATGGGATGGGGTTCTTCCTTTCCAAATGTAAAATGTCGCTTTAGAATTGGGTTGCGTGAGCGCTCAAATTAACGATAGGGAGTGAAGTAATTGAACGCACCGACCACATTACTAATCTTTGGGGTCTCGTCAGTCTTCATGGTTCGGTGTGTGACGACTTCTCGACACGGATTAGGAAGGCTCCTTCGGCTTTGATCGACTTGCATCACTTGTGATGTAGGCGATACATCCATCTACGGAACAAAGGACGAGTTTAATGTGCAGCAGTTCACTGTTCTACTTCATAGATGTGAAACATGGACATTAAGAGTAGAGGATATTCATCGGCTACTAGTATTCGATCATAGAAGTCCACGAAGTATCGCTCGTGTATTTTAGGACCACGAGGTACCCAATGCCCGGGTTTGGAACAGGATACTATGTAAATATGGGAAATCGACTAATGAGGTTGTAAATCTTCGTTAACTGAGATGATTGGAATGTGTTATATATGGCCGATCACCGCATACCTCGACTGACGGTGTTTTCTGGTGCAGGAGTAGGCTAGAAGGAAGGTAGGGATGGCCAAACAAAAACATGATGCCAATCCATGAAGTCATCGACAATTGGACTGAACCATGTTAATAGGTATAGACTACTTGGTTGGGGTCCGCATAATTTTCGTAACCGTTGGTTAGAGACTTTGGATCATATGGTTCAAAATCGCTTGAAGTGGTGCAGGTGCATTTCCTCTTTGTCTTGTATGTGACTAATGGTCACATTGCAAATTGGTTGGTAGAATTTGATCTTCACCGAGGAAGACCCGACACACATGATATTGGTCACTAACTAGTGATCAATCAGTTGTAAATAGATCCTTTATCCTTCCCCAGATTCTTAGATTCTAAATTCTTCACAACTATTCTCTTATTTCACTAATTTATATTTTTACGAATCGTATCTTCGATGCCTAATCTTTGCCATTACCATTCATACTGTTATTACCTCTAATATTCTGGGATTTGACTTGACAATTTCTCTGTGCTAATGGGATATGGTAACTTGAACCGACGTAGATATGTACCAGGTTCTATGTAGTGACTGTTTTATGTTTACTATAAAGGTTGAACACAACGAGCTTCCTTCGACTTAACTATTTATTTATTTGAACACATAAGTATTGGTACAAGGGGGCACCAGATATATATGCGCCACACTTTCGACTTAACAGTATAAGACGAAGTTATCAAATGGGGATTGTTTAGTCATTTTGATAGATATTTTTGTATGGAACACAGAAAGGACAAAGATGAAACCGATAACTATGGTAGGACTAACATATAATGTATTGTGTTCAATGGTTTTTTGTATAATACGTCCGAAAAATGACCGATATAAATAAAGAAAATGGACCAGTTGGTTGCACAACAAAAGCAAATGTAACAGAGTTCTGCTTAAGACAAAGTTTTAGTTAAATAATGAAAAATAGACAGTCAATTTCAAGTCAAAAAGGAAGATTTGGTGCAGTTAAATGTAAAATACTGGATAAGAAAAAAGACTTACGTCATTTACATATTTTTCGGCATCAAACGAGGTCATTTTCAGTTAACGCTGAAAAGGCAATAAGTTCTGTGAATGACATTGAAAAAGACGAAGAATACTTGAAAAAAGCACACAAAGAATATACAGATGAAATCCATTTGAAAAGTCGATTATGACAGAAAACGATTCAAATATGAATCATAAATGATAGATAGGAAATTATCAAAGTGGTAGTCAATTGATTCTAGAAAACAAAATCATTAAAGTACTGGGTAATAAGTTTTTATAGATTATAATTATCATAGTTTAAGACACTTGATATATAATGATGTTTATCTAAAGACAACCTTATTCCTTTTTTGTTCTGTGTTAGTGAATCGCCAAAATTCTTATATTAACAATACTTTATTGGAGGTCGTCCTAAATTATGAAGATATCTGATATTTGATCTATTTTCGCTAATTTCTGCTCGATGATTTTAATATACATTCAAATATATTTCAGTAACAATAGAAAAGTAATAAGTTCAACATGAGAGCAAAGGCATACTTTGGGGACGAGATTAGAACTGAAAATACAGTTTTTAGACAATTGTAAAAGACGTTTATTAATGGATAGTCTATGAAAAAAACAGTAGTATTGCTAGCATGAATCGGTCTTAAGTAAACATCGAATCTACTGACGTTTTCCACAGGTCATTTAACCTGAAACTAAGAAAAAAACATATCAAATCGCCCTCATGGAAATAGACTGCTCATCTTTTTAAGTATTTATATGGACGCAAAAGAATCTTAAGTCCTTTATGTTGGCCCTAGTTACTGCTAAAAATTTACGAAAGGAATCAAGGCTTTAACACGAACTGACGTCGGTTACTACTCAAAATTGCTTTGTAGCTATATGAATGAAGTAATTTTATTAAAAATGCAATGTCTGGCTAGTTTAGATAAATATATGTGACGCGATCGACTTTAAGTTTACTTTAGGATTAGGAAGCAAGGTTTGTCATTCAGGGGTACATATACTCAATTTAAAGAGACAAAATAAGGCATATGATGATTTAACAGTATAAAATGACAGATTAACGTTGATCTATGATAAAAAAGTGAGTTTACAATATTTTCTAAGGATTTCTAGCAGCATACAGAGGAGCGTTTACTGCTCGTCACACATGATACTTGAATTTCATAATCGCGATTTTGACTGGCTCGACCGTAAAGTATAGTTTTATGAACATGCAAATCACACTCCTGACCTTGAAGACAGACAACCCGGTAAAGTTCTTTTCGTTGTCCTAATTTTCAATATCTCCGTGAAAAGTTATTGTCAAATTAATAATAGATATGAAACACTTGGACGTCCAGTAAGTAACTAACTTGGCTAGTGGTTGCTACATTCGTACCGAAGAGAATTTCGCACTTCTTAAAATTTTGAGCACAGAACAATTTTTTCAGTTTCCAAGTTTTAAACATGTTAAGTTCTAGTTTTTCCAACTACATTTTTTTAAGTGCCCTAAAAACATCCGGGGTTCAGGATTTTACTTGCACCTATTTCGTGATTACTGTTGCTTGTGTGCATTACTTTCTGCCTTTGCTTTTAGATTATCATTTTCTCACGTTCAAATGATTGTTGACGGAATAGAAGAAGCTTTCGCTTAACAGGCTTCCGTGACTAGTAGCAGGGGATCACCAAATCCTCCAGGCAGGAACCTAGTTATGTTAACAATAAAAAAGGAAAAGATATTAGTAAATCATAGTGCGATACTATCCTTAGTCCTTAAGAATAGATCAAGTTGCCTCCTAAAGGACTCCTGGGAAGTCGCTTGGACTAGCTCGGCCGGCAGCGAATTCCAGCATTTGACAACTCTTAAGGAGTAGAAGTTGTGTCTACAGTCCGTTCTGCTATGTTGTGTCTCCAGTTTTTGGATGTTACTTCTTAGGTTAGTGTTGGAACTAAGCTTGGGTAGATGTTTGAGAGGATGTCCAGAAGTGTTAAGGATACCATAAGCAATCAGAAGGTCACCTCTAAGACGTCTAAACTCTAATGGGTAATGGTTAAGTGAATGGAGGCGCTCTTTGTAAGGTTTAAATTCGATTCTCTGAACAGATTTCGTGGCTCGCCGTTGGATACGCCCCAGGGTGTCCTTATCCTTTTGGAATCATGGGGGAAATACTATGTTTCCGTACTCTGAATAGGGACGGATAAAACTATTGAAGATTATATTTGCATTGTTAATATTTGTATTTTATTATAGTTTTTGTTTTTACTACACCTTCACTAATTCCCCGTGTTTATTCCCGAACTGCACTTATGTTGTTTTACTTTATACTAAGTCTGGGCGGCAGCCATATTGGTTTGTTCCTGCTTTTGATTGCTTGGCCTGTGTTGACTGGAATTGTGCATTTTGGTTGTGAATTGAGGCACTATTCCAGAATTGAAAACACACTGTGTTATAAAGCGACCAATTATTATCTTTTGAACGAATCTGTACATGATCTATCCAGACAGGATAGAATAACATTTATTTGTGGTGATTGATTTGATCAGTTGAACAATTATTGGTTGGATAGCTGAGTGGTTATATTTGTTTAGGTAATAATGTGCACTTGAATTTATGATAAATTATAGAACCGCTATCTTACCCAAATACCTTGTTTTGGTTTCAAACGGGCGAGGGCGCGTATCCATACAGCTGTCCATCAGTTCAACCGTAGTTTGGATCATACATTTCTAAACAAATAAATTGGTCGAATTCGTTAGGCTTTCGTTTTGTTGATTCCAATCATTGTCTCTGTGAATATTTGGTCGTTCGCTTGCGATGCCAAACAATCATCGAAGGAAATTAAGTCCGAGGCTCGTGGATGTTAGAAGAGATGAACAAAAGAATGGATCCCCTCAATTAATGCAAGTGCCTTCTGATGCTTCTGTGTCATGGTCCATATTCTAATAGGGACGATTGTAATTATAGTGAATCTAGTTGTGATATAATGGCAAATGGCATAAAAAACCTTAGTTTAGACGTGAAGCAAGCAAAAAATGTGATGCCTACCGCTCCGTTCGTAGGTCCTTAGTTACTAAAGGTTGAGTTTTCATGCCTATAGGTAACCCTCGTGCTATTGATAGAAGAAACCAGACAGGTAGTGAAAAGATCTTTATTTCGATCTTAGCGCAGTCACAGTAGAGCGTGGGATTGTCTGTTCAGACAAACGAAAGCTTTCAACATTCAATATAAGATAATAGGGAATATAATGCTTATACAAAATAAGGAAGTGAATGAATACTTGAACAATACTGTTTTGGCATATGCTTGGTTGTTTGGGGTCAACTCTTAACCAACCAACCTATGTTGTTACAGAGTTAAGTTATTTCGACGGTCAACCGAGAGGTTATTGGAAGTTTTTAAGGGAGTTTGAGACTTACATCGAATCAAGGGTCAAAGATTCTGGTCAACGCTTGCTTTATTTGATACATTATTGTAAGGGTAAAGCGAAAACAGCCATTGAGGGTTGTGTTATGTGGGAAGCCTCTTCTGGTTACAAGAACGCCAAAGAAATTCTTTGAAAGCATTGTTCCTCACATCTCTTACTTTTGGGATTTCGTATTTTGTATTTTAAATATTTTCAGAATGTCTGTTGGCATTACTGTTACATCCACGTGCACATAAATTACCACACTCAAATATCTTAACTTATAAACGGGAAAATAATCTTAGGTTTGATAGTGATTTGGTATTTTAATTAGTTTTAATTATCAACATCACAGTTACTGATCCTTGGTCAATATGTTTTGTACTTGCTTGTCATTTTTTATTTTAGAAGCAAAGCATTTTGCACAAATGTTGTTTAAGACAGGAAATTTACTCAACAAATGATTGTGAATGTTTCGGATTGGGACACATACAAAGTACAAAAGTGAAACATAATTATTTCCATTCTATAGTATGGATGGTTTCTACAAAGGTTAAAATGATACCAAATTGAAGGCTCCATGGTTATTTACTATTATCACGAACACTAACAAAGTTTGTGTGAATAAGGTGGTTTAGATTTGTAGCCCAGAAGGATGATTTTGTTATAATTACGTCCTCTGAACTGGGTGATTTAATTGTTGGAATTCCATGGACTTACTAGACAAAATCATAGGTTCAAACTGCAGATAAAAGTGATCTATGAGAATTTCTTTACAAGTGACTTGCAGCTTGTTTCGTTAACCCTGGTTATGATAAGTTGTTATTGACGATTGCTCTATGATTGTCTGCACATTTATATTGACTGTCTTACCCTGCGACCTCATTCTTGACCTAATGTCTGATTATGATTGTTTCTGTGTCTGTTTAGACATTTGTTGATTGCTTGCTGACTTAAGCTCTATAATCATAAACGTTCAATGGTCTTATTTGTGTTATCTTTGTTCACGATATTGTAGAGGTAAATAAATCCCGAAAACAAATAGCTCTGTAAGTCTTCGACATTGGATGCCGACCAACTTAGTTTCAATGTACTCACCTAGCTGAAGGCACTCGGTCATGCATCCGCACCAGATTACGAGTGGGAACGCCGTGCTCAACATCCCCTGCAATCGCTAGCCAGATTAGATCAGTCGATCATCGTTATATTGAGAGCCTATCAAATATATCTTCGAACCTCCTCGCTTCTGACTTTTGATTTCACTTTGTGGGTACGATTGATAGTAGAAGTTGTTACTGGTTAAAGTGTTGTCAAACTCCGAATACCTGTGGCATCTTCAATATCAACGTTTCACTCGAATATGTGTCCGCATATATCTACAAGTAATAATATAGGTGAAGTTATGTTGTAGCGTTTGAAAGCATATTAGTGTTCATGTAGACGAAGATGAAGCAAGGTGATACTTTGTCCGATTTGATATTTTACACGAGCGAAGAAGTCTATTCTCCTGGGTGGTGTTTAAATTATCTGCTTTCGTCCTTCTTTTCGTATAAAATTGATTTAAGTGATCTTTTTGGTTCGTTTTTATTCTTAATAGCATCAATAACCAGTTTATAATCTTTATATCCCCTATTTAAAGTAGGATGACCCGCTTGTTAGCATGCATATTTGATACTTTGCCTAACAATGAATTTGGTAGACATCCTTTGATGAAATTACATGGATAGCCGCAGTTTTGAAAAAAGGTCATTAGATATTTTGTGGTGTGTGCTACTTATATTGACATAAGCAGTACATGATGTTATTCATGAACAGTAGGTTTGGCAGCCGAGAGACAAGAGGATCAAACAGTAAAGAATGAAAACATGTTGCAATTTGTATGAAAATGCAAGAACAATAAAGTCTGCGTTACTTTGAGACAAGTGGTGGACATTTTGCAAATGAAGCATTTACTTTATGATTATTAGATTTTATTAACAGGTCCTGTAATTTTGTGTTAAATACATCGGATTGTCCCCACCCGTGTTCTATTCACTACAATTTCACTTCATTTTTCAGTACGATAATTGTACAGCAGTTTGTTTTTGTTCTCTTGAATAGAGTTTGTAACAGGGAATTTGATAAGATTTCGACCTAATGCCATTTTAGTTAATACCATGGTCTATGAGATAATCGGAAGTATTTGAATTACAGTATGAAATAAGAATCCCAGAAATAACATAATCGGATCAAGAAGTACTAGATAACCACGAACGAATTTACTGTATTTAGAATTCAAAATCAAGTATTCAAGAAGTACAAAGGTATCGTTAGTTCATTCAAACACCACAGTCTGTTTCTTTTTCTTTTTCGCAACAAATCTTCTTTACAATTGATATTCACATAGATGTAACATACTTATCTCTATAAGAAACAATTATACTTTCCTCAAGTTTAATCTACCAAAAAAAAGTAAGATATAAACATTCAGTTAACTGTTCAATAGAAGGAATATTAACCAAGCATAGTGAAAAGAAAATATTCTATCTATTATCAACTAACATACATTTTACTATAGAATAAACAATTTTAACAGTAATAATAATAATATTAGTTATCGAATTTCAATAAATTAGGAAAAAAAGTTTTATTATTTTAACTTCTTTTTTCAGTTTCATTTCCGGATTTCTATGTCCTTGAAATAATTCAGTACAATTAAAATTTGACTAAGTGATGGACATTTGAATTTGATACCATCTATTAATAATTAATACTTACTTATAAAATATAGAACAGTAATAATAATGTTAAATAACAATGACAGGAAGTGTGAAAGTTTTTTTTTTGCGTTTGTAATTTACACAATATATTTAGTATTAAAATTTTTTT